CCATGGGTACCACGGGCCATGATACATACTGCGTATTTCTCTTTCAGAAAGGCTGTGTCCATTCACCTTCCTCACCAGCTGTGTATATGGGTGTTCGTTTTTTCATGTCTTTACGAACACCATTATTTCTTGCTTTTTTATTTTTTTAAATTTTTATTTATTTATTTATTTATTTATTTATTTATTTATTTATTTATTTATTTATTTTTGAGACAGAGTCTTGCTCTGTTGCCCCTCGGGCTAGAGTGCAGTGGCATCAGCCTAGCTCACAGCAACCTCAAACTCCTGGGCTCAAGCGATCCTCCTGCCTCAGCCTCCCGAGTAGCTGGGACTAGAGGTGCACACCACCACCATGCCTGCCTAATTTTTTCTATTTTTAGTAGAGACAGGGTCTTGCTCTTGCTCAGGCTGGTCTCGAACTCCTGGGCTCAAGCAATCCTCCTGCCTCGGCCTCCCAGAGTGCTAGGATTGCAGGCGTGAGCTACCTCGCCCGGCCTATTTCTTGGTTTTTTTTTTTTTTTTTTTTTTAAAAAGTGGTCTTTGAGTTTTGCTGTGTAGGTAGGTATTCCTTATGGATGTGTCAGACCGTGGTGGAAATCACTTATCAGTGCACCGTCTCCGGGTGTCTGAGGGAGCTGGGTGCCTTGGGGCCCGAAGGCCAAAGGTCCAGGGCTCATCCTGGAGCGAGATGCCGTCTCAAGGCCTCTCGCTGTGGGGCGTGTGCTCCTCGGAGCGGCAGTGCGGGCACTGAGCCCTGCTGTTCTCGGCAGAGTCCTGGGGTAACTAAAACCTTCGTGACACGTGGAGACTCTTTGGCACTGGCAGTTTGCACCCAAACCGTCGCTCCCGTTAGACGAGGCTTTTCTCCCGGCACCCAGGCTGGCGGGGGCCAGGGGTGGTGGAGCATCGCAGAGGGACGGTGGTTTGAGAGGATGAATGACTGCTCTGGGAACCACACCAGAAACCTGCCTCGGGGACTGTGGCGCCTCCCTCTGGCTGTCGGGGTTCTGGGGGTCTGACCTTTCGGTTTGTGTCTCCGTCTGCCCTCCGCCATGTGACAGACAGAAAGGAGGCGAAACCCAGGCCTGACAGGTAGAGTTTTTATTTCCCCTGACAGCACACCTCTTGACCTCCATCTTCTTGCCAGTGATTTTTTAAATCCTAAATGATTTGGCAATAATTGCTCCTTCTCGCACGCTTATTGCCCTTCACCGGCAGTAAACCTGTGAGCTCCCCGGGGTCCCGAGTGCACCGCGGTCTGCAGAGCCCGCAGGCTGGCCCAGACAGGCATCGCTGCTCCCGGCGCCGGCCCCGGCCTGCCACCACGCTCACGCACGGCTCCGGCTCGGGGGCCCTGCCACATGCAGGCGGCAGAGCCACAGCTGCTGGTCCCCGGATGAGAGCGCTCCTCCGGGGACTAGATTCCTCCGGTTCCATCTCACGGGGTCCTGAGAGTCTTATTCTGAGAAGGAAGAATTCCTGCTGTCTAGCTCTGTGTGTGTGTGTGTGTGTGTGTGTGTGTGCACGCACACACGCAAGATTTTATTTTCCCTGGAAGCATGGAAGGGAAGTGACATGAACTATATGGAAGACATGTTCCATTTCCAAGGAACTTTCTAGTAAGGTGGCCCCGGAGCCCCGGTGGCAGAAGTGGACGTGGCCCTCAGCTGGCACGCTGAATGTTCCAAGGCTGACCTACAGTGTCAGGACAGCACATTGAGAAGGACAAAGTGTTCAGTAGAATCTAGTGCAGGGGCTCAGAGCTGGCGCAGTCACCTGAGGCCAGGAGCCATGTGAGTTGCCCCGGCGACCCTGGCTTCGAGTGACCTTTGGTGTCACCCGTATGTGTGCAGCAGACTTGGTGCTGGTCCCACTGCAGGGAACACACGGCGCCGCTAGCTGTTTCTTCCTGGGTGATCTGATGGTTTCCAGACAGCCAGTTTGATAGACACAAGCCCATTTGGATTTGGCAGTGTTTTCCCCAACATCAGTCATTCTGGAAAAAACAATTCCAGTTTTTACCATATCTGGGTACGTGCCACTGGCCCTGTCACTTGATGTTTCTTTCAATGGACGACTCACTTTTTAAAAAATAAATGTATTTTAAAAGAAACTTTCGATCGCTACTATAAATGGAAAACCAGAATCCCTCACTTACCATAAGAGATGAATCTAAAAATAAATACCACGCGATTACATTGAAGTGTATGTCCTTGTTCTACCTAGAGTCAAATGGTGTGTCACCGGTACACACATGCCTTGGGAACCGGGAGTAGCTACAGGGAAGAGCAGAGAAAATTAGTTTGAGAAGTGTGAAGTACAGAGTATTCGCTAGGAAGAAATGTGGTTTTATTTCCAGTACCTCCCGTCTTGCCGTGGGCTTGTGGCCGCTAGCGATTGGCAGAGGCCCCGGCCTTGGCAGCCATGGGTCACCTCCTCCGAGCTTCCTCCTGGTGCCACCGTGCCCTGCAGCTTCTCCGACACAGGCGCCTCTGGCCTCAGCTTGAATATGACCAGGGAGGAGCCCGTGCGGCTGTTAGAAGAGCTTCGTGTTTAGCTGAGACTGCCTCCCTGGCCTCTGGGGTGGCGCCAGCTCTGCTGTCCTCTTCCTCGGCTCCTCTCGGTTCCTGTCATTTGAAGGCCTTTGCAGGGGACGTTTCCAAGGACAGCTGCTCAGGCTCATTCACATGTGCTTTTTGGAGCTCATTGCCTGGCTGTCCCTGGAGAATGGCGGGTAGATGGGTAGTTAGCACAAGTGTGGTGTCACCTGCTGGGAAGGCTTCCTCCCTCCCTCCCCTGTACCCCCCAGCCTGGTAGATCCCTCTTGCTCTTCAGAAAAGTCACCACCTCCAGGAAGCCTTCCCTGACCACCACCAAACCTACAAGGTCAGGGCTCGCAGCCTCCTGTGCTTCCTCATAGGCTGTGGTCATGTGTCTGTGAAATTACCTGGTAAATGTGCTCTTGCACTCGCTGTGAACTCCACAAGGGCCCGGACCGCGTGTGTCGTCTGACTCACACTGTGTACCAGCCGCCTGGCCCGGCACCTGGCCCCACGGGGCTCGGTACAAAGGTGCCGAGAGACTGGAGCAGAGAGTGCCTGTCGTGAGTACTGTGGACTGTCCCGGACACGGGTAGGTTAGGAGTTTCCAAAACAAAACATTTGGTGGTATTTACTTTTTCCTTCTTAACGTGTCTAGATAACTAGTATGTGCAGGCACCGTGCTAGGTGCTTCACTTGGATGATTTGACTTGAACACCACACCAGTCGCGCCCATTTTACAGGTGGAAGTGGAGGTGCGCCTGTTTTTCTTTTATCTTCTCTTTTTCTCCTTAACTTTTCGAACATAAGGGAATGCAGTTAGAACTGATTCAAGGCTCTCGTCTGCTAATTCTCACATCTGTGTCAGTTCTGGGTCAGCTTTGATGGATTTTCCCCCTCATTATGTGTGATATTTTCCTTCTTGGCGTGTCTGATAATTTTTTTAATATTTATATAACTTAAATTACATGAAAACAGTTTGATCCTTCCAGATCTTTCTTTTAAGATCAGCAGCAGAGCAGGGTTTAGTCTAGGACTAATCGTTCCCTACCATGAAGCAAGCCGCGTGGAGACGCCATGAGGACTTCCAGCCCGCCTGGTCCCCCGTGCGAGGGGCAGGCCCTGTGTTCTCTAACTTTTTGGTGCGGTTCTTGCCAGGCCCTGGGTGTTTCCTCCCCAACGGGTGCTGGTCACGAGGGCACTGACACTGGAGGAGACCCTCCGCATCTCCACGGCCCTCCCTGCAGCCTCTCCTCTCTGGTCCGCTGCCCACTGAGCTCTGGCTGCCTTGGTCTCCCCAGAGTCTCGCTCTGTCTCCTCCGTTCAGGGGGTCTTCTGGGGTCCCCTGGCTTTCCCCTGTGCACTCGTCAGCCCAGACTGTCGTAACAGAACACCACAGACCGGGCGTCTTCGACAACAGACATTTATTTTCTCACGGTTCTGGAGGCTGAACGTGGGAGCTCAGTGCCGGCAAACTCAGTTTCTGGTGAGGACTCCCTCCCTGGCTTGCAGACGGCTGCCTGCTGGCTGTGCCCGTGCGGAGAGAGCCGCGCTGGTGTCTCTTCCTCTCGTAAGGACGCAGGTCCTATCAGGTCAGGGGCCTCCCGCGTGACTTCGTTTAATCCTCATTACCTCTCTGTTTGTCAAGTATGGAAATACGATTGCACTGGGGGTTAGGGCTTCGGCACAGGAACTTGGGGAGATGCTTCGGTCCACAGCACCCCCCCTGCACCCCCAGTCTGGGAGCTCTGAAGGCAGGAGCGGAGAGCGGTCACAGGGATTGGCTCGCCTGTTTCCTGTGTCTGGAAGCCCCTGTCCTTCGATGCTTGTTGTCCAGCGTCTTGACACACACTGTGGTCTCATAGGCTTTGCCTGGTTTTTTAGTCGTTTCAAGTGGGAGAATATGTCCTAGACGCGGCTTTTTAAAATGATAGGCAGGCTGTGAGCATTTCTTCTGTGTGTGTGTGTATTTTTGTTTGTATGTTATTTTGTGGTTTACTGCAGTAATACCTTCACTATTGAAAGCAAAACCTATGTAAAGCAAAACTCACAAAGATGTGCCAGAGATTTACTTAGTTTTCACAGACCCAGGGGTTGGCCAGTGACCTGGTTATTAACAGAGTGTTAGGATTAGGTGAAATCGAGCCTGTGTTCCCGTGGAGGTGAGGCAGCGTCAGCGCCCTGCACGCCCCTGGGCCACCAAATCACTTTGACGTCTGCTGATTGATTCCAAACAGCACAAAGACGTACCGTTCAGAGCCGCGGCCCACGGGGGCAGTGCGAGATATATTCAAGGTGGGTTGACTTTTAATCAATATGATGACAATATTATCCTGTTTAATTTGTATGACGGTGGTTTTAAACATCAAATCAGGCAGTTTATTATGTCAAAAAAGATGAAGGAGCACGGGAATGAAATTCTCCTGGCACCATTTCTGAGCGTATTTCACTCCGTGACAGGCCGTCATGATTGGGGACGACATCGTGGGTGACGTCGGCGGTGCCCAGCGGTGTGGAATGAGAGGGCTGCTGGTGCGGACCGGGAAGTTCAGGTCAGTGCCGGGCTGGGTTCCTTTGCCCGCCTTCCTTCCTGGGGGTGGCATGTTCTCATTTTGCTTTCCAAAATAAAGGGGGGGGGGTGTTCTTTCCAAATCCAAGAGCAGCGTGTGGGCTTTCGCTACCTTGTCTGTAGCTGCCCTCTGAGGACGGGGCTGCTGGTCTTCTGTAGGAGACAGTGATAGGTTGGAGTGGCTTTTGACACCGGTCCACGGTTTGAGACGGTGTGTAGCGTGGAGAAAAAAAGCAAAGGCGCCGCCCACGCTGGCCGCCGCCTGCCGGGCATCAGCGCAGTCTCGGCGCCTGGTTAGATGCTGCGGCGCAGGCGGCAGTTGGGGGCACTCGGCCCCTGTGGTTAGCCCCCAGCCTCCTTTCGTCCCACCCTCTCCATTCTGCGAGACACAGAGAGCAGCTGGCTGGTTAGGGACGCTTTGGAGCTGAGCCTCCATCTCAAGAAGAAGCTTGGGTTTTATTTGCGGGGTCCGAAGTCTGCCCTGTCTCAAGCCGGTTACTGGTGGGCACCTGTCAGGTGTCAGACACTTCAGGGCGTGTGGACGTGCCCCGTGGTGACCAGAATCTGGCTCTCTCGGCTGTCGAGAGTATCTGAGATATCAGAGTGTTGTCTTGTCCTATTCTAGATGATTTCGACTGTGGTCGTTCAGAGAAAGTTCGATTTCGAGGATGCTGGGGAGACTTAGTTAACACATGGTTACCAGGGGTGCTTGGATTTGAGGGAGGGGGAAGACCAGCTACATTTGTCCTGAGCGATCTGCTTGGACGGAATCGGAGAAGATAGATTAAGGGGCCCGACTCTCACACTGAAGTTTCTCTCCCGTGGGACTGATCTTAGGGACCTGTGGGCTTAGGGCTCATAGGAGAACACAGGTGAGTGAGGACGTCTCAGTACACCCAGGCTCCAGGATTGGGAAGCCCAGTGCCTTCTAGCCACTTCCAGGGTCTTCCAGGCTCGGAGGTACCTGTGAAACCCCTGACATGCCTGAAATACGGACCTTCTTTCTTCCCCAGGCCTGCGAAGGGGGGTTTCCTGGGTTGGTTATGTCCCTAGGGAGTGAGGGACACCCCACCCACAAACTGCAGCAACATTCTTTCCAAGAGGCCAGCCAGGGGCCCCATGGCCCTCAGTTGCCTGTTCCCCGCAAAGTTGCAGAGCCTGGTCCTGCTGTTGCTCCCAGGTGAGGGGCTCCTTGCTGAGCAGCAGAGCTCGGTGCCTTGAGCCGATGTCCAGTGCTGCCTGGTGTCGGCCATCAGGAGCCCACCCAGTGCCTGGCACATGCACCACTGCCCAACGAGCTCGTGATGGCCATGCCCTTGTTTGGAAACACAGTGCTGTGACTCCCAGAAGGTGAAGACTGAGAACTGCTAGGTTTTGTGCACAGGGCTTCTGCTGGTTTCTTGCAGGAGAAACATTTTTTCTGTCCCCATTGCCGCTTCAGTCGGGGTCTTTCTGGCCAGCCTGTACCAGGTGCCTTTGTAGAGCTGGGAATGCACGGGTCTTGCTCCAGGTCCCAAGTGTGCCTGTAGGCAGCTGGGCATCGGAGCACAGTCCCACACACGCTCGGGAAGCCTGAGAATGAGCAGGCGGGTGTGGGGGAGGCTGCACCTGCCCTGGGCCACCTATGGTTGGTCCTTTCAGATTCCAGTTGCCTGTGTGCCGTTTACAGAAAAGCGTGCGGGGGACATCCCCGCGCCCCGCCTCCCAGAGAGAGAAACTCTGTCAGCAATTTGCCAAATCCTTCCAGACACCTTCTCTGTGCAAACATACTGCTAATGTCTTCCTTTTTCCTTTTTACAAAACTGGGATTATATTATTTTGCAGCCTGCCTTTTTCTTGAGCACTGTTTTATGGAGTTGCCTGTCCTGGTTGGAAAAGATGGTTACTCTGCTTGTTCCCGGGGTCATTTAAGATTTCAGATCCTTTTAATTTGTCTGCAAGGATGCAAGTCTGCTTTTGTTAACATGCAGGTCAGAGGAGGAAGAGTTAGCTCAGTTAAGGTGGGGACTGAGGTCGGGGCTTGGGGGTGGGGAGGCCACAGGGGCAGAACGGGAGGTGGAGCCCCTGGTGTGTAAGTCGTGTGTGTTAAAGGGGTGGAGATCTTTCAGCTGTTGGCTACAAGCCACCGAGCACTTGCAGCGTGGCTGGTCCAAATTGCGATGTGCCGGAAGTGTGAAATACGCACGAGATTGCAGAAACCGAGTGGGGAGAACAGATTGTAAAAGAGTCTGAGTCATGTTTTTATGTTGACCACATGTTGAAATGCTGAAATTTCATGTTAACTTCACTTGTTTATTTTAATTTCTGTTGACTTGGCTCCTAGAAAATGTTAGCTGGCCTGTGCGGCCTGGCGTTGGTGGCCCCAGGGGACGGGAGCCACCCTTGTCTCTGCACTGCTCCCTTCTCCCTCCAGATGGCACTCTCGGTGCACGGACGCACCCCGAGGGGCGCAGGGCGGCTGAGCCTGGGCTCTGCGGGCCCCGCTGAGTTGAGGGCTGTGTTGGGACTGGGAGTCCCCTCGTGGTGGGTGCTCCCTGCAGATGCGTGGCCGGCTCTGGGCGGTGAACAGCCTCTGGGCTTCCCGCTGGCTCAAGGTGCCTCTGCCAACGCCCTCTATTTTTGCACCTACCCCTGGTACACGTGCACACACCCGTGCACACACCCGTGCACTTGTGAACATACACACTTGTGCACACACAGGACCGTGTTTCTAAGCCTGTCAGGAGTTGGAGAGGCCGAGGAGGTGCTGGGAGTGTGGGGTTTGGTCGCTCATTGTCTGTGAGGTCTCCCTGCACCCGTGGTGTATCCATTCCTTGTGCTTCTACTTTTATCGCAAAATGGCCCAAAGAAAAGAGTGAAGCCTCGCGTTGGGCAAGCTCGCAGGGTGGCTCGGCTCGGGAAGTAGGCTTTGCAGGGAAGGCTCAGTCCCCTGTCCTGGAGCGCTGCCCGGCAGGGCTACCCAGAGCCCTACACAGAGACAGACACACAAAGCTTCCTTTTCATACCTGCTCTGTTTGGAAGTCCAGCCCAGCCAGGGTGTGTCCCTCACCTGGCTGGCAGGTAGAGGCCGTTTGGGCGTTCCCCGCCACCCTGTCTCCAGCGCGCCTGGCGCAGTGGGCATGCCGGGCTGCTTCTCCAAGCTCCTCAAGGTCCCACCCAACCGCAGAGCGTTCCCGACCCACAGGCCCTGGACAAGGGTGTCTCCTCCATGGGGCCCCTGTGCCTGTTGGTGGCAAATCCTCATGGTCCGTCACGGTGAGTCCCAGAGACCCAGAGGGTGCTGGCTGCCGCACTGTGAGGGACATTTTCAGATGAGGCGGCTAGAGCCTTGCCCAAGGCCACCGGGTGAAGTTTCCCAGACTGGAGCCGCTGTGCCCACTGTTGGGCGGGTGCTTTCACCTCCACTTTTTCCTACTGGGAATATCCTGCCCTCGTGGTCAAATTCTTCAGCGGAGTCTTGGCAGCTACAGGGCCCCAGCCTCGCTGCAGGGCCCAGGCAGGGCTCTGTGGTTGGAGGTGAGGGGCTCCGCTGGGTGGAGTGTGCTGCTGCCGCCAGGCGCTGCTGCCCCACTCCCAGGCGCAGGCCTCATCTACCCTGGGGTGGGGTCTGGGCTGGGACCCTGTGCCCTCCCGTCTGGCAGATGCAGGGAAGGGACATTCTGCCAGTCCCAAGGTGCCCTCTGTTCCCAGTGGGGGAGGAGCAGCTGTCAGCACATCTAAAACAGACCCTTCCTACCTCTCTTTATCCCCACCCGAACCCTCCTCCTGGGGACATGCCAGAAACCGCAGGGTCACCCCCCCAGCCCCCCATCACGTGAGCCCATTCCTCGACGCACAAATCTAAGGTGTCACTGCTTGAAAAGCCCCCGGGCTAGTCATGGAGTTGCTGTGTAAATAAACCAGCTACACGGAGCTCACGTTGGGTCCCAGTGTTTACTCAAGGTTGGAAGATGTTTTATGAGCCCAGAATGTTCCTGACAAACAGTTTGCCCTGCTGAGGGGAAGTTTCCTGGACTGCGATTCCAGAAGTCCTGCAAGTCCCCTCCTAGCTGGGGTTCAGAGGCTCCGTTGGCCCCTGACCTCAGGTAGGGCCTGGGTGGCCCTGGTCCCCACTGTGGGCACAGGCGTTTCTCGGTATGCTGCGCTGTTCCCACGTGGCCTGCTTCCTTTAACAGTGGGGTGGGGTGTTGCCTGGTCTGACCTTTATTTAAATGGGATCGTATGCAGGTACTGGTAGTGTGTGTCCTCTGTGGCGTGAACACACCTCTCTCTGCCCACCCCTTGGAGGGGCCATGTGCGTGGGTCCCGGTTTGCCATTCTGCACAGACTTGCGGGAATGATCTAGTCCGTGTCTCCTGGACACGTGGCATGAGCCCTTCTGGGGCAGATCTGCTCACAGGTGGCAGGGTGGGTCACGGAAGATGCGTGCGCTCACCTTCACCGGTCAAGGCCAGAAGGTTCCCACCCCAGCAGGGTGGCCCCGACTGCTGTTGTGCCTCGTCCCAGCCATCCCCTGCTGTTCTGGGAGGGAGGCCTGTGCTCTTGCCAGCGTCAGTCCTGAGGGGTCTCACGGCATCAGCACCTGGCAGTCCAGTCCACCTGGATCCTGGGCTGCATAAGAGATTGAGGACTCCTCCCAAAGGGCCCCGGGGGACAGAGGCCTGTGTGATGAGGTCAGGGGGACCCACCTGGCTCAGGGGGTGAAGCTGGGATTTCCAGGGGGAGACACCCCACCTTTGCCCCACCCTGCCTGGCTTTGCCTGGCTTGGGCAGACTCAGCTTCCTCCTCATCGGCTTCCTTGCCCTCTGATGCCAGGTGGTGAGGAAGGGCTCCCAGGTGGAGGCGGGGAGGTGGCCTCCTCCAGACCTGGGGGTCAGCCCAGAAGGTAGGACCCATGTAGGCAGTCTCCCAGCCCCAGGAATTTGCCTCTTGGGAACCTGCAGGTAACTTAGGGGTCCTGGAAGGTTCTGGAGTGGTAGGAT